ATAATGCAACACCTGAGGGTTAATCGTACTTTATAAGCATGATTGGTACATACTAAAGCAGAGGCGTGTGTCTGCAGATGCGAGCTGTGGCAACACGGGCGACATGTTTACCATCTAAGTGTTTGGTCCCCTCTATTCGACCATTCGGTACCATTATTATGTCAAATCTCCTTGATTAAACTGGTATCTTTCTCGTCACCGTGTTGTGCTAAATTCTGTCCCTGTTCTTTCTAATTTTAAAGATAACAGGACTGAAATCAAATAATCTATCGAGTTAGCGAAACCACCCAAATAAAGTGAAATAAAAATTTTACGCACTTTAGAACTGTTGTAGGCATTTTAGAATGCTGAAAGTTTATTCTTGTTTACGTCACATGTTTACGCATTACGGTGAAAGGGATAGACTTATGCTGAGAACAATACATTACAGGCCCTGCCAAGTTAGAATATTTAAATAGCATGTTGTCAGAAGACACAAAGAAAATAATATTTAAAAAAAGATAATCATTTGGTGTTCTCCGAGAAAGCAGAAAAAACTGAGAATTTAGGGCAAAAATGGGTTTCGAAATTACTCCAAAACTAACCTAAAGCAACGCTCTTATTCACAAAGTGAAAGCTACGAAAGAGAACCCTCTAGCCCAAAAATCCATTGCAATGATGCTGAGAACATCTTCTGGTACAATTAATGAAATAATAAACATGAGTTTAAAGTTGAAGAAGGCTTGCAAGCTTATCTTAAACAAACGGTTGGTTTCATGAGAAAAATGGCTTAAACAAGTAGAAACAGTTATCCTATTGATCACTTGTATGTCAAGCTCCACATGCAGCTCGTATATACTTTTGTGTATTTGGTCTGTTTAAATACGGTCTTAAAAGTCAACGTCCGCGTTCAGTTGACCGTTTGTGGAACGTTGGTCAAAACGTGGTTTTTGATTGACGTCGCCATCTTTCGTAGAAACATTTTTACTTTGAGAATTGCTGCATCGAGCAATAAATAGTTTCGCAATCTTGGCCGTCGATTTGAGCGTAATTGACAATGGAGGAATGAGTTTTCCAAGTACAGCACGGGACCTGAAACATCGTTCTGACAAAGTATCAATAACCTTAAGTATAACAAATATATTTAATTTCCTAAACATTCACCATCAAACAAAGCTATGAAGAGAAAAAACTTTAAACCAATGAAATACTGCATCATTATTGGTTCATCAAACTCTTCGACTATTTTCCTATACACCATATTACGTTACCAAAAATTAAAGCCAATAAATTCTCCCCATCAAAAGAGGAAACACAACTTAAACTCATTGTAATAACTTATCTCTACTTTGTCAGGTTTCGTACAATTAATGAATTATAAATGCAGTGTATTAAACGTCATTGATTACTTAGAGATAATACATAGTGACGGCATGGAACAGAGCTATATGAAATTCGTTACATTGGTTTATTGAACCTGTGGATTTTTCTTGTAACAACAAGATGGGCAATTTTAATAATAAGTAGTTTGTGCATAACACACACACACATATAATTTAACTGTTGTATGTATGCAAAAGAAATAGAACAGAAAATAATGTCGAATGGTAGAAACAGAAGAAGTGTTTGTTACTATTGGTCAGAAAGTCATGTCGAATGGAAGAATCATAAATACCAGGATTTTTCAACTTTATGTTACCCAGCGCTCTCTAGAAGAGAACGAGCGTCTGAAACTCTAGCGAGTAACGCGTCCTGCTTAACAGTTTCACTACTCGCACACTGAAACGACTTTCTGCATTATCCTGTAATAATTTAAACACAAAAAGGGAAGAAAAAACACACAGTAAAACTTATGTTCTGATTTACTTCTCGGTTTCACGTTATTTTTCTCCTTCTGTCTCTAACCAGAAATGTACCATATTTTAAGAAGGTGAACAAGAAAATGATTACAAGTAAAATTTGGGCGACGAACTTGTTAAACTTTACACCACACCCTAGCGTGTTTCTTATATTCATAACACCCCCAATTTAGAACTGGTCACGAGGTCAAAGATCTCACGCGCTTGATTGTGAATTTAAAAAGAAAAAGAACGTCGATGGCTCCCAAGCAGGTACTAATATTAGTATTCATCACTACAAGGCCTCATTCGAAGTAGGGGAAAGGGAAGGCGCATTTTTTCCACTTTTGATAGTGAGCACAAGATGTCGGTGACACGCCACACATATTAACAGCAAAAGTTGACATTACGTAAATCACAGATTAAGGTAGATGTTCAACGATTCTTTCAATCAAGTGTATTTAATTGTTGATCATATTAACACCGAAGAATCGTGTTCAACACAAATGTGCAAGAAAATAAAACAAAAACAACAACCAACAATAGCACAAAAATATGATTTAATTGAATAACACTTTAATTCATACCCCAATGACATCCTGAAAAAAGACTTTAACATTTTATTTATTTTTTGACATATTTACCATTATATTTTGTACCTTTAAATGCATTACGTTATTTGTTTCAACTACTATTCGTTGGAATTTTAAAGGAACTATTTTGTGATGGGGAAACTCATTAAAAGCTTAACCAGTGTACTGGCAGTTTTCTTGCTCATGACTAGATTTTACTGTTGAAGATCATTGAACTTCGCGAACCCTTTTTTTTTGTTTTCGTCTTGACAAGCAAATATCCAAATATTAGCACAGACTAAATCTATGTTTACTGTGGATCTGGTAATGAGAGGTCTTATTTTTTTTTCGTCCCAAGTATTTCACAACACGACCATGTTAGCTTGTTGAAAGTAAGTAATTAAAATTCATTTGTTCACGTGCATTGTACTAATAGTGTTGTAAATGTGGCATTAATGATATAGCAAATATATCTGTTTAGAAGAAGCAGTATCGCATTAACAGCTAAAATACGCGAAGTATCGTTTTTTCTGAAGTCAAAACGTAAGCCTTAGTTATCTAGTTACTAACGTGGCAGTGTAATTAGTATAAACATATATAATGTTTAAATTCTTTAGACACTGTAAAATAGCCAAAATTCATAAACGTTGTGTGTATGTATAACATTAACGAGGTAGCGGGTATTTTTGTCCACGACAATAACCTGACATCTGGTGGATGACCTAACCATCCTCATTGAAATTTCCTTTGAACTTTATGGTGCACTGCTGTGTAGGGTTTATAAAGGTCAATAACTGCCACACAAGTTTAGTCGGAGTCAAGATTCCACAAGGCTGGAATATCACGGACTTTGGTAATTAGATGTAGCATTGGTAGTATCAGCGTCAAAGATATTTCAGCACACCTGTTAATAAATTTACTGTGAATAAGCTGACGAGGGAGTGAAAGACCACTGGTCACGATAATATGAAATATCAGTGTAGTCGCCAAAATTAGTAATTTATTGTTTGATAGATTGTTTAGGTAGAGTATTCATGATAAGTACACAGGGATGGACAGCAACTGTCTGTTGTATAAAAAAACTCAAGTATAGAGGGCGACGTTATTGAAAGAAGATACGCCCAGACTTGTAATAAGAAGTTAGGACCAATGTGCCCAAGAATTTCACGCTTCATGATTTAAAGGTCGGACTGTAGCTCATAAGCCACATATCACAGCTTTGAATAGAACATATTGACTCTCAATAAACATTGATTATCAACATAGCGATAGGATATGTATGGAGCGACGGTTTCCGTTACTCACTTTGTTCAAATAGGTGCATTATTTAGCTCAACGACTTAATGCTTTACCATGCTGAGAAAATATGAGTTTTCCAAAAGAAAACAATGATGCATCATTGCCCAGAATGTCATTACACAAGATACTTATGACTCCCCTAACTTTTTCTAAAACACCAAGACCAGACCAGATCAATATTATAATATCACTTCTATTATTCTTCTTCATTGTTGAAGCAACGCAGTAATATCCAAAACATTCTTCGGTATGTCGTCAAACCCAGACCCTATTAATCCGCTTTGGCTAACTCAGAACTTCACACTAAATCCATCTGAACCGTTCTAGAATGTTTTGGAACAACGTCCAATTGACAGGTTCTGAAATCTCTCCACGCTTGGAATTACTCTGCAAGAGGAATAATGGTCTGTTCTACCAGATGTGTATCGGCTTTCTGTGGCAAGTGTTTGTAACAGAATTCAGGCTGTGATTAATACCTAAACAAGTGTCCCTTTTCAAGGTTATACTGTCGTAGTACTTTTGGTAAATTATTATATAGTATATTATTATGTAGAGTTTAAATGAAGTATGTTGTATGTGAAATTTTTGATATTTATTATTCAAGTTTTAAACTCTTCACTAAATGTTTTGAGTAAAAACTGAAGGGTATATTACAGTCTAGCTACGAAACCGGTACAGCAAGGACAGTAACACGCTGGATGATGAGGTACGTGTGACACAGAAACGCCACTTTGGACAATGGAGAAAATTATTATATTAATTTTTTTTGTACTGTTTTATTGGTTGCGGGTAGTAACTTTTGTAAATTATTTACATCTACAAAAACCTACATGTACAAGGTTTATTGGAAGCCGTGATTTCCGGGTGAAGTCACGAACAACTACGATCTAACACGATATTTTAAATGGTAAGAATGTCATGCTTCTCGAACAACCATGAACAAAAAATATGTATTAGCTCTTGCCTCTAACGCTCTTATTTTTCTCCCATTCACTGCATTGGTTGTTTGACAGAAAATATTAGTATTTACTATTACTATTAATTACTTAATCTAGTGATTATTGAATAATTTTATATCATATTTCATAGTCTTTTACTCCTGCGTGTTTGTACATGGTTTCATTTGATTATTTTATCGTTATTCTAAAAAAATAAAACTCAAACTGTTCTTTAAAAGGATTTTGTATTTTAGATTTTTGTACACGATTATTAATTGAATATCTTAGCGTATCCGTTATTTTTTCTTGGCAGTACGGGTTGGGTGCTGTTTACAACTTGGTAAGTTGAGTATTATTATTGTCTTTATTTGTAGTGTCAAGAAACGCTAAAGCTCCAGAATTTGAAGTATCCGCATTACGGTTCAGACACGGTAAGTTAACATTTTTACGTATATTTATGTAAGAGAGCACTGTTTATTTTTTTTATATCACTGCTATTCTCAGCTTTGATAATTAACACACCTTATCGACCAATTCGTAATGATGACAACCTAATTAGTTGTGCCAGCTGTTTACTCCAACATCAACATCAAATCATGTCTATATTTCTGAGCAGACAACAAAATCTAAGAAGTCAATTCGTGTTATTATTATTATTATTATCAATAACAGTTTAGTTAAAGTTAATGAATTTAATCCCTTCGAGTATATAGATACCTTAATCATTCGAGTCAGTTCGTTAGCCGGAATGTAATGTAATGCATGCTGTTCGAGTTAACATGCTTGTTGGAATTTAACATTAGATTGTTAGTTTATATACAGCTCTAACTAATGTGTTTTTGTTATATTTTCTTCACATATCAAATTAATACTCTTAGAGACGTTGTAAAAAAAGAGTGTCAAAGTTTTCGGAAACTTCAGGTACATAGATATCTTAATTGAACGAATCATTTTGCTGGTACGTTATCAACTACAGATTTTGCTAATCAGTTTAAACACTTCAGGTATATAGATATCTTAATTGAACGAATCATTTCGCTGGTACATTATCAACTACAGATTTTGCTAATCAGTTTAAACACTTCAGGTATATAGATATCTTAATTGAACGAATCATTTCGCTGGTACGTTATCAACTACAGATTTTGCTAATCAGTTTAAACACTTCAGGTATATAGATATATCTTAATCATTCGAGTCAGTTCGTTAGTCAGATATTCGTTTCAGAAACTGTGTTCATTCATTCTGTAATGATTGCCTTATATAAGCTTGTTAGCTTTAGTTCGGCAACCTTATCTAAAGAATCTTTAAACCGATTTCACATGAGGTTATAGACATTATTATGGCTTCTGTGCATCAATCCGATGTGGTGAACTATTTTACTGAATGAGCAGCCTGGTCAATCGAATATATATATGATAAACTTAATATATTGATACTGAACATCAGGTCATTTGTCCGTTTTTGTAGAAAATCCGGCTCTGAAAGCACTTCTTATAAGTCTAGATTTGGGAGGAAATTCTTCTGTTATAAAAGTCTAAATTTGTGTAAAATTAAACCATTCGAAGTAGATGAGCAAAAGGAGTTTTTAAGGAAAATTCACATCTTTTTTAATCATTGAGTATTATATAAGTGACGATAATATTTACACTTTTGCTACTCTGTTTCTGAACACACAGAAGTATTAGAAAACAAATGAAACACAAGAGGACAAACATGCTAAAGTTTTTATTTTTAAAACAAATAATTTTTATTGGTCATCACATTTATTTTTTTTAAATTGCTTTCCAGATTTGAAACAGTATCGTCAAAGCCTTAGTCGGTGTTTTTAAGTGTTGTTTACAGCTGTTTATCATTACTAATTGGAACTATTCAGTTCTTAACTTCACGAAAAGTTTGAAAATATAATTCATGACTGTTGAAAGGTCGAGTAATAAATACATAAATAGAGAAATCTGTAAAATAAAAAAAGGAAATGTATCGCGTGGTATAGTCAGTGACACTATTCATATTGTATTACCATTTGTTGTTTACGAAATGTGATAAAGATCTCAGGCAGGTTTTTCGTCACTGTAATTGAGTCAGGAAGATAGAGCTGTAGACCGAGTGTTACATGGCGATGGTAAAACATAGCGATAAACGTTACTTTTATGTGGGCCATTTAGTTAGTTTTTGTTAATCGCAGAACTTCAACAAGAGGCTGTCTTTGCTCTACTCACTGTGGGTATCGAAACCCGATTCTTAGCGTTATAAACTCTCAGAGTTGCAGCTGAGCCACCGAGGGCCGTTTAGTTAAAGTTTTTCGATAAGCCAGTGATTAAATTAAATCATGTGCATATTCCAAAAAGTAAAAGAAGTACCCAAATCATATGATAACTAAGTTTCGAACGAGAAAATAATATACACGAAGAATCGTGGCTCATTTTTGGTTGACGTTTTTGTTCCTTTTCGATTGTAATTTTCGTCATAATAGGGCCCAAACCATGGGCGTCCGCAGGATGGGGCAAGGGAGGAGTGGCATAGCAAGAGGGGGGCAGTCGCCTCCGGGCGCAGGTGTGGAGGGCGCAAAATTTCCTATGGCGTATAATGGCTATTAATTAATAATTATGCCCTCCTCTAGGATATAGTGCAACTGCCCTACGTTAAGTAAATACGACACAGTGTTACGTTATTTGTGTGTATTACGCTTGCAGTTTTAACTTTTAAAAGCCGCTCACTGAAATACAGTGAGACCGAATTGACGTATAGAAATTAAATTTATACTATTCCA